AAGATAATGTGATGATGAAATAACATATAATATCATGTATAATATATGTAATACATAAACAGGAAAATACAGTGACAGTGCCTGGCACCCAATAAGTTTAATAAACGTTACTGTTGTTACGTCATCCTGTAAGAGGCCTGTGGGGGCGGGTCCTGGAGATGGTCTTTCCCTGAGTATTGAGGTGCCCAGTGAAGCCAGAAAGGAGAGACCTAGTGTGGATCATAGAGAAGTGGGGGGTGGAAACCAGAAGGGCACAGGGGGTGTGTTGAGCTGAAGGACTGGGCTTTAAATAGAGGTGGAGGTGATGAGACCACACCCTTAACCTTAAAACCTTCCACCCGAGAACCTGAAGTGCAGGGAATTGGCAGCTTCCCGGGAGGCTGACTGGGAAAGGGCCAGCGGGACAGCCCCGCTTTCCCCTCCTGCAAGCCACTGGCCAGGCCAGAGTGCCCTGTATCCACAAGGTGGGAGGTGAGGGAGAACATTTACTCATTGTCCAGAGTGAAGGCTTCATTCTGCAAAATGGCCAAAGCAATCAGCAAATGATGGAGTAGCTCTTAAAAAGAAACCTGGCATTTAATTAACTTTTCAAAGTGCTGGTTCAGCAATCTCAATGTTTTACATTTTGAATATTGAACAAGCATCTCTATAATCGGACCTGCCAGGGTGGGGAGCACCTGCTCAGTTTTTATGAACATGATGGAGTCTTGTCTGAATTTCAAGATAACCAGCTCAGGATCACTCAGGATGGGGCTTCGGTCTGTGAATCCATCTCCTTGCTCAGCCTGGAGATCAAGGCAGAGTTTACCAACACTTTCGTTAAAAGAGAGCAGGCAACTCAGAAGGATAGGACAGGAGGTTTCCATCTCACTGCTTAGCTACTGGACAGTCCAGCCAACTCTCTGGAATAAGGTTTAGGGCAGTGATTCTCACCCACATAGTGGGTCCCATTTCTGGAAATTACTCGCCCAGAGGCCTGGGTGAGACCCAGCACATAGACCCTGAAGAAACTTCCTGAGTGTGATTCTCTTGTGCCTCCCTGGTTAAGAGCTCCTGGTTTAAAGGATTCTCTCCATCTTTTATTTATCTAAGTGTGGTAAGTCAGGAATGGAGTGTCTGCACAGTAAATCCAAACAGCTGTCTGGGTGCCTATGGGACATCTGAAAACCAGCTGTGCCTGCTGTTGAGAAGGCTCAGGCGGTGTTTGGAAGCCAAGGTGGACGTCAGGAGACAAGGATTCTGGTCTCAGCCTCCTCACTAACTGGCTCTGTGGTTTGGGTGAAGTGCACAGCACAGTGCCCAGCGTCTGTCACGGTGCCGCTGAGACCTGCTCTGCCTCATTTCCAGCACTCAGCTGAGCGAGTCTTTGACGAGTGCTGCAGAGTGCTCTCTCTGTGTAAGACAGTCTCACATTATCATTATAATTGTCCTGTTCCCAAATCTTCTCCTAACCACTTCTAGGGTAAAAGGCATGTCCCCTCCAGAGGGCTGACCGGGTCAGTTGCCGCAGAAGTATGTCTATAAGGAAGAGATGACCCAGGACTACAGTTCTCTCCCTTGGCCTCCACAATCTGTGGCAGGCAGGGCTTCAGCCCCAAGTCCTCTGGTGGGCAGTGGTAGACCAACTCTGTTTTCATTTTGTTTAACCTGTCACCGCCATTTAAAAATACACTCTCCATCATGACTGAGTATGTGAGCATATGAAATTGAAAAGAAATTTAATAAGGATAAAGACCTATCCTTATTGTGAGCAGTTCACTTTCTTTTATCCTCTATGCTATTAAAAAAAAGACCAGTGGTGATTTACTAACTTGATTTCATGAGTCACTAACAGGCCACGACCTGTATTTTGAAAATCACCGTGCTGGATTCTGTGCCCTGGCACTGGACTCCGTGCCTTTGGGGACCAGGTAGGTAAAGTAAATCTGTGAAGTGTGGATTTATTTCGGAATAGCACCTAAATTATATTACTGAGGTACATATGCTGATTATTTGCGTATTCTTACTTCTATGAAGATACTTACTCTTGGCCAAGTCTCCTAAAATCTGCTTCCCACTTAGTCTGCCTTTGCTTTCCCGTGTTTGATAGCTGCCTAGCTGCGTACTTCACTGGCCTCTGCATTTCCGTAAAAGACCTAGCAGTGCAGACTGGGTGATGCAGAACCAGTACTGGACCTGGGATAGGGAGTGCTGGGAGCTCAGTGGCAGCCACATTCAGATGTAGGTCCCTGTGGAAAACACTGGAATGTAGGTCCAGTGTTGCTAGGGTTTGTATCTGAAGAATTTAGAAATTCGGTTTTTTGTACAAAATCTTCGAATTTGGACAAGAAATTGAAGTTAGAACAGAACAAAACAAAATAAAAATAAACAGCTGTTGCCGAAACCGATTTGGGTCAGTGGCTAGAACGTCGGTATGAGGACTGAAAGGTTCCAGGTTTGATTGCAGTCAAGGGCATATACATTGGTTGCGTGCACATCCCCTGTAGGGGGTGTATGCAGGAGGCAGCTGGTCGATGTTGCTTTCAAATCGACATTTCTAGTTCTCTATCTCTCTTCCTTCTTCTCTGTGGAAAATCAATAAAATATATTTTAAATAAATAAAAACAAACAAACAAACAAACAAACAGCTGTGTGATCCAGACCAAACTTATATGCAAGCTAGATAAGGCCTGGAAGTGGCCAACTTCATCAAAGGCAGAGCGTTCTGTGCCATTTTCATCTCCATAGCAGAGCAGAAGGCTCACACTGAACCTGTACTTTGGCGGGTTTGGGAGGGGGGTGTGGGGGAGAGACACGAGAAAACACCACCTGAGGGCATCCCGCTGACCATCCTTGAGGACTCCATTTTGATCTTGGTTCATCCCATGGGGTGAAATGAGATGCCGGAGGACTCTTGGCTCCCCCTAGAGTGAGAGAGAGCAAGATGTGGGCTCAGCAGCAATTAAGCCACATATAAAATTCATCCCCTTTTTAGATGTGGAGTGGATAATGGCAATTAATCAGCCTTCCCCTGAAGATTAGCGTTATCATTATTGTCTCCTTCAGACAAAATCACTGCTACTTTTGCCACCTCCCATTGCTTAGGAGGAACCGATGCAGTCATAATTCCTAAGAGTAATCGGGGATGGATATGTCTCTTGTGTACAAAGGCATTGCTGGTCTTTTTTTGTTGTTGTTGTTTTAATATATTTTATTGAGTTTTTACAGAGAGGAAGGGAGAGGGATAGAAAGTCTGAAACATCGATGAGAGAGAAACATCAATCAGCTGCCTCTTGCACACCCCCTACTGGGGATGTGCCCACAACCAAAGTACATGCCCTTGACCAGAATCGAACCTCCTTGAGTCTGCAGGCCGACACTCTATCCACTGAGCCAAATCGGTTTCGGCTCCCTGGCCTTTTTAATACCCTTATTCTCTGATCCTGTTTTCATTCAAGCCCTCCTACCGTTGGTGGCATATCAAGCCATTTGGACAGTGGGTTTATAGAGTTCAACTTCACCGAGACAATTAGAGGTAGTGAGTTGGGAGCAGAGCCTTCTCTCTTCCACTTAGAGGCATCTTTGGCGGCTGCCTCGGACTCTATGTTAGGATTTGTTTGACTTAGAACAGTATTGGAAACCTCCATCACCCAGCAGCTCCATGGTGGCGCTGCCCTGGACATCACTTTGCAGTCTGCCTTTGGCCTCTTACTGCCCTTTCTGTTCCACTCGTCCTTCTATTCCTGGTTGCTCAGTCTCTTTACTTGGCCCTTTAAGAGACAAAAAACATAGTCTGGGAGATCCCCTCAGAGTTGTTTCATCCTGTTCATCCAACCTGACCTACCTATCCTCTTCTCCTTCCTTGACTTCATCCAAAATCCATTCCCTTCCTTCCTCCCTTCACAGTGCAGTTGGTATGGTCTGAATTTCGTGGAAACTAATCTATTTAAACTTGGGCTTAATTTATGATTATATTGTTGGGGGGCAATTATTTGCATTTGCAGGAATTGCTGTTTGGTTTCAACATAGCTCTTACTGGTGAGGCTTTGTGGGCCAGTGCTGTCGAGGGCCATCTCATGCATCTCCTGGCCATTATGTCATTGCCACTGCCCTTTGTCCCTGTTTTCATGGCGACGATTTCTAACTTAAAAGAAGTCATAAAAAATAAAAATTCTGTTATTGTGATGTTCAGGCAAACAGAAAAGTAATCACGTATACCCATCACCCGACTTTAACAATGGTCAACATTTGCCAGTCTCATTCAGAAGACTTAAGATGGGTGTTTCTCAGTAGTGTGCTACTTGGGTTAGAATTACTGGAAATTTGTTTAAAATGCATATTCCTGGGCTGCCTATCCCCCAGATCATCTGATCCAGATATTTCTGCTGCCAGGTCTAACACGTCCAACTGTCGGCATGTCTGTCAGGCTTCCCAGTGGTTCTCGTGCACAGTCAAGTTTGAGAACCAGCGCCTTAACAAGTGTGACAGGCTTCCTATTCCCACGGAATATCCGAGGGCACTAGCTAGCATCACTCATATGGCTTCTGGTCCTTCACGTGGAGGATACAGAAAGACAGGCCCTGAGCCTGCAGCCTCCCTGCATGGCTAGCTCATTCCTTTCTGTTCGTAGATGCTGCACATGTTAACGCAACAGCTCCAACTAGGACCCAAGGTCTCAGACCTAAAAAGTGCTCAATAAATTGGTCAGTACTTGTTGAAAGAAAGGAGGATGTCATATCATCTATATTCATTTGATTTTTGAGCTCACTCAGCCTGCATTTAAACTCAGTCATTTAATTTGGAGACATGCTGAAGTAAGGTTATAAGAAGGCATTGCAGTATCTATAATTCCCTCATGGTGAGTATGAGCCTTGGTCTGTAAAGAGGAATCCAGACAAATAAAGCAGCTGGGATATGCTCATTTGCATCTACTTTTAAAACCCCCTGTCCAGCATACCCTGCCAATGCACGAGACTAGTAGGTTCTCATAACCCTTCTCTTTCTTTCTTTCTTTCTTTCAGGTCAGGAAGGAGGGCTTTTGAAGATGCGGAAGAGTATGTTTGCAGTATTCTTATGGCACCCTATTGGGATGTTTGTCGACAGTGCAGTCTTTGTTGAGCAGCATTCACAAAATAGGCAGTATGAGTCTGGCTGTGGCTGGGTTCCTGAATCAAGGGTTTGACTAATGCAGCGTCTCCCACTGAAGGCCTGGGCTTTGGCCTTGGTACCTGTCACACCTCCTACCCTGTGGTTTTTAGAATTACATGTCTAGGTATCAGAGTACTGACCCATGGGTTCTGCTGTATTGATATAGATGGCCAGAGGCAGTGCCAGTTTCTAAGCCTCACCTTCTCCTAAGACTTAGATTCTTAAAAAGTTTCCTGGTGAAGGTGGAGTATAAAGTCAGGGCCATCCAATTTCGCACCTCAGAGGTAGGAGAGCATTCACATCATAGTCTGTGTGACGCTACCCCGTGCAATGGAGCAGTACCAGCTTGGGCAGCCATACGTGGCAGACCCAGGTGCCCGGTTAGGTTTGAGCAAGTTGGAGGAGAATGGGTCCAGAGACATTTTCATCTAGGACAGTGGTCGGCAAACTGCGGCTCTCGAGCCATATGCGGCTCTTTGGCCCCTTGATTGTGGCTCTTCCACAAAATTCCACGGCCTGGGCGAGTCTATTTTGAAGAAGTGGCGTTAGAAGAAGTTTAAATTTAAAAAATTTGGTTTTCAAAAGAAATTTCAATCGTTGTACTGTTGGTATTTGGCTCTGTTGACTAATGAGTTTGCCGACCACTGGTCTAGGAGAAAGAATGGTACAGTACAAATTTGGGTTGTTTCTTTCTGTGTTTAAAACTGATTCTCTACTTTCCTTCCTTTTTGGGCACAGTCATCGCCTCAGACCGAAGAGCCTGGATGGATCAGATGACGGAGGAGGTAAGACGTTCTTGGAGGAAATCTGAAGGGCTTGCGGAGATGTCCCAGAGCCCCCGAGGCATTTTCTGCACTGCAGCTAAGGCACCAGCTGCTCTAGTGCTACAGCCTGTGCCCAGAGTACCTCTCCCCCTTCTTTTTCTTTAATATATATATTTTTTATTGATTTCAGAGAGGAAGGGAGAGGGAGAGAGAAATGGAAACATCAATGATGAGAGAGAATTATTGATCGGCTGCCTCCTGCACACTCCCTACGGGGGATCCAGCCCGCAACCCAGGCATATGCCCTTGGCCGGACATGATCCCAGGGCCCTTCAGTCCTCAGGCTGACGCTCTGTCCACTGAGCCAGACCAGCTAGGGCTTACCCCTTCTTCATCTGCCAACCCTACTCATCCTTCAAAAATCAGCTGAAGCATCACCTCCTCTGCCATGCCTTCCCTCTCTGACTCATGTCCTTTTTTTTCTCCATTAAAAAAAGAGTTACTTGTCTTTCTGCTATTGAGTTATAAATGTTCTTTAAAAAAACAACAACAACAACAACAAAAAACTTTATTGTTGACAGTATTACCTATGTCCTCTTCTTTTCCCATTGACCTCTCCCAGCCTGCCCCGCACCCACCCCAGGCCTTCACCATCCTAGTGTCTGTATTCCTAGGTTACACATGTACACATTCAAGTTCATTGGTTGATTTTTCTCTATGCTTCTACAATCTCCTGGGCACATTAACAGCAGCAGCAATGGCTAATGTTTGTTAGGTGTTAATTATACATCAGGCACTGGTCTACCAGTTTATAGATGTTAGAGCATTTAAATCTCCACAACAACCCTATGAGATAGTAATGCCATTATCCCCGTTTTATAATTGAGGGAACTAAAGGACAGAGAGGTCAAGTAAGCTGCCCATAGTCACAGAGCTAAGTGACTGTCACACTTAGTTTTTTTTGTTGACTTGAATGTTCTTCCTTTGGGGCTCTAAATTCCTTGACAGCAGACACCACATCTTATTTGTCTTTGCATCGTCAGTACACTGAGCGTACTAGTCAGTTAATGGCTGGCCTGGCCAGCGAAGGAGAAACAGCACTAAGTAGGTCAGTAGCTGTGGTACAGCTAAGGCCCGTGTTCAGACTCAAGAGAAAAGATAATGTTTGTGTGTAGCTCTTTATAAGAAACTTACTAGAGAGGAGATTATATCTGGGGCTAAATTATCAAAGCCTTTTTAAAAAACCATATATTTACCACTTCCACACTCAGTTCCTTGTGTAGAACTCAGTTTCCATCTGGTGTTATTTTCCTTGTGCCTGAAAAACTTCATTTAACATTCTTGTAGAGCAGGTCCTCTGGCAACAAATTCTCCCAGCCTTGCTTGTCTGAAAATGTCTTTTCACCTGATACAGAATTCTAGGCTGACAACTTTCCCCTCCTTTTAGCACTAATGTTATTTGTTTTCTGCTTTGCATTGTTTCTGAGAAGTCAGTGGTACTTCTCATCTTCGTTCCCCGGCATGCAGTGTCTTGTTCTTCTCAGGCTGCTTTTAAGATTTATTTATTTTTATCTTTTACTTTCAGCAATTTGGTTATGATATGCCTTGGTGTGGCTTACTTTGGGCTTATCTACTTGAACCTCTTGAGTCTGTCGATTTATTGTTTTCATCAGATTCGGAGAATTTTAGCCATTATTTCTCTGAGTATATTTTTTCCCCTCACTCCTACTGGGACTCCAGTTATGTGCATGTGGGTTATATCAGTTGAAATTGCCACACAGGTCTTGAGGCTCTAGTTGTTGTTTTTTCCTAAACTGTTTTAAACTTTGCTTCAGTTTGGATAGTTTTCTGTTGCAGTGTAACTGATCTTTTCTTCTATAATGTCTAATCTGCTCTTAAACCCATCTAGTGAATCTGTTGTTTCAGACATTGTGTTTTTCTACTCTAGAAGCTCCTCTTAGTTCGTTCTCTCTCTCTCTCTCTCTCTCTCTCTCTCTCTCTCTCTCTCTCTCTCTCTCTCTCTCTCTCTCTCTCTTCATATGTATCTTCCATTTATCTCCTTATATTATTCATGTTTTTATTTTTCCTTGATAGCAACCTTTATAGTAAATGCTTTAAAGTCCTTTTCTGCTAATTCTATGATCTCTATCTTTTCTGAGTCTATTTCTATTGACTTATTTTTCTTATTTTTCTGCTTGATTAGTAACTTGTCACTTGGCTGCTGGCCATTATGAATGTTACAGCTTGGGTGTCTATATCAGTGGTTCTCAACCTTTCTAATGCAACAACCCTTTTATACAGTTTCTCATGTTGTGGTGATCCCCAACCATAAAATTATTTGTGTTGCTACTTTATAACTGTAATTTTGCTATTGTTATGAATCATAATATAAATATCTGTGTTTTCAGATGATCTTAGGCGACTCTGCTAGGATACTCAACAGTTTTGAGAATTGTTTTTAAGCTTTATTAATGCAAGTCTGGAGTTAGCCCTAAACTGTAAGACTACCCAGATGTCTGCTGAATTCCTGCTTGTTCCACAGGGACTCTCCACTGGCCTGGGCGGAGCTGTTCCTCTGGCAGTTCTGTGGCAGCCATGGGGATCGCTAGCTCATACGTTGCTGGTGGTAATTCTCTGCCCAGCCTTGTGGAGGTTGACCCTGTACATGCACAGCTTAGTATGCAGTCCATCTAGATTTGTGGATCTCTTTTCCTGCATAGCTCCCCTCTCTCACATCCTGCTTCTCAAATTCCAGCCACTTTAGCGCCCTAAACCTTCACCTCTGTCTCCTCAACTCAGGAAGACCTCCATGCTCCACGGGGGTTCCACCTCGCTGTGCCAGCACCCAGGCAGTGCCTCTAGGCAGAAAGCCAGGGTGACTGCAGGGCCCCCTTCTCTCGGGATCACAATCCTGTTCTACCTTGCCCTCTGTCTGAAAACAGTCATACCTTATATTTTTCCAGTTTTCCAACTGTTTCCAGCAGGAAAGCAAGTCTAGTACCAGTTACTTTCTCAAGACTATCCAAGGAGTCCTACAGCCTTGTATTAACTAACCTTTGCATGCGACGCCAAAATGAAGGAGAGAATTAAGTCAATAAAACGTGGATGATTACCTGTGTTTTAGCGCTACTCACAGGATTGGGGCAAGGGTCATATAGGACATTTGTGAAATATTCTGGGATGATGTTTAACATGCAGATTCCCAGGCCACCCGTAAAGTTGGGGCCTGGGAGTGTGCATGAATTTCAATAAGCTTCCTGAATGATTGTTTTGCAGACTGAAGTTTGACAACCCTGGTGTAGCACCTCTACTAGTAAAGCCAGAACTCAGACTGGAGAGGAAAGGATTGTGTGAAAGTTCATCTCATTCCAGAGGGGTTTAAGGCAGCCACTGGAGGTCAGGAATTCAGTCTACCATCTCGGATTTGTTAAGAGCTTATGAGCATCTCTCATCATTCTTCAGTATTTTTCTTTGCTGTCTCGTGATCTCTTATTGACAAGCTCATTTCTTTTTGCCAGATATTTCTCCTTAGCTCTAATCACTAAACTCCTCATCGCTTCTCCACCCACTAATCATTCCCAACGAGTTCTGCATTTCTATTCCCAAAATCTGTTCTCTCAGATCTGTACCTAGGATGTCCTTGCAGTGTTAACTGGGTCCTGTGGTGGCTTGGTGATTGGTGGCTGCTGGCCACACTTTTGCTCTGCCTGTCCTCACAACTGGCCTGTTTCTATAGCCATTGCTTGCTTAGGGAAGCGGGGGCACCATCCAGGAGGATATGCCAAAGGACCCAAGACAGCAGGGCCCCTGCCAGACATTAGCAAAGCTGCGAAGCCGTTAGGGAGCAGTGCACATGGAAATTACGATGCTGATAACTCTGAGATGCTTTTTAAATTCATGGCTACAGAAGGTTTACTCAACTGGTATTCTTCTTCAGGCCTCTCTACACCTTTCCTTGCACCTTTTTCCCAACTCCCTTTAAAGGAATCCTACTTGCTCCATTTTTTTTATCCTGTTAAAAATGATACATTTCAACCGATACATTTTAGTTGTTGAATGTTACAGCAAAACCTTCTGAATACTATGGTTTACACACATCATAAATGCATATTGTTAGAAGGTTGTGCTGGCTGCCATCGGTTAGAATCAAATTGTAGCGTTAAGCAGCTGTGTAGTCTGTCTTGTCCTAACCTGTCATTTGACAGATTAAGAAATTGAGGCTTAGCCGGGACCGGTTTGGCTCAATGGATAGAGCGTCGGCTTGGGGACTGAAGGATCCTGGGTTCCGGTCAAGGGCATGTACCTTGGTTGCGGGCATATCCCCAGTAGGGGGTGTGCAAGAGGCAGTTGATCGATGACTCTCTCTCATCGATGTTTCTAACTCTCTATCTCTCTCCCTTCCTCTCTGTATAAAATCAATAAAATATATTAAAAAAAAAAAAGAAATTGAGGCTTAGAGATGATTATACAAAGTAGCTTGGTGGGGAACTAGGTTTTCTGACTCCAAAGAGAACACTCTGCTCTGTTGCCGTGGTGTCCACAGCATCACTGCCATCATCATTCATTACCAAACATTGGCCATGTACCAGCTACTAAACCTAGTGAGTCACTATTTTTTCTCTCACTAATTCACAAAACAAATCTATGGAAAAGTGTTTTAAAATCAACTATATTGAGGTCTTAATTTACATATAATAAAGTGCCTTCATTTAAAGTGCACAGTTTGAATTTTGACAGATGAATATGTCCCATGAAATCACCTCTACAACCAAAATATAGAACACTTCATCACCCCCAAAAGTCTTTCATGTCACTTTTCAGTCCATCCTTCCTCTACCCCTGTTCTCAGGCAACTACTGACCTGTTTTTTGGTCATGATAGAGTGGTCTGCATTTTCTGGGATTTTATATAAATTAAATCATATATATGTATGCTTTTGTGTCTGGCTTTGTTCACTTGTAATGATTGTGAGATTCATCCAGGTGGTTGCATATATCATTGGCCTGTTCATTTTTATTGAT